GTGCAACCCATCAAGTTGAATATGAAAGCATCTTCATGTTCATGTGAAATAGGTCCATCGTGTTTTACATTTTAATCTCGTATGAATTACACTCAAAGCTATCTACTGCGGGTGAAAATTGCAATGCAAATTTACTTTGATCATCGTAAATCTACATCTAATAATATGAAATTTTCTCATCTTTCAGTCTAGGAACAAGTAAATCGTCATCAGATGAACTTTATTTCTAACTTTCTAGATTCCAGATTATTTTGTCTAGGAAATAGTTATTTAGATTAATTTTGATTCTAAATATCCTTTACAAAATATTTTCAAATAAGTGAAAAAACTAAACTTTTTTATTGAGGAAAAAGAAATCAACACTAGCAGTTCAAGCCATCCTATCCTCATTCGTATCCAAATACATATGCATAATCTGTATTTTTCATTCACAGATTTGCACAAGTGACTTTTTGAGTCCAAATTGGCTCTATGGCTTCTTCACAATCAAATTTACCAATGAGTCCGATAGACGCGATATTTCAAAAGATGACTTTCGCATTTATGGGTTCACCTTCTTCTACAGCATTGCACTTCTCTGCATTTACTCTCATGCCTCGGTCGACGATACTCAACGTGTATTTCTTGCGTACGAGTTTCTCAGCACAACTGCACTTTCTCGTAAGTGGAATAGTTTTTCACATATGTCTTCACTCTTGTTCCAGACTTTTTCTCTTTCGACAAGTGTGTCGAATACCGATCTCAAATGTTTTCAATGGCTTGAAGTCAATGCTATTCGACACTCAGCAGATGACTTTATGCATATTCCACTCGTGCAGTACTTAGAGTGACTTGAATTTTATTTGAAAAACCTCTGACTTGTTCAGCTCTACATTGTTCTTGAACTTTGGCGACTCAGTATTAAATGACGCGGGTAGTAGTCTTCATTAGACGGACAGTATTAAGATCATTGCTATCCCGAAAAAATACAATGATGAATCACTCTTGACTGATGTGCCGTTTTGATGAAGCTCAACAACACTTTTGGAGGCATATTAATCTTATAAGAGGAATATCAAGATTTTCTTTGCAAAAAAATATTTTGATGATTGCTCCAGTGAATTCGAAAGTAGGCTTATACGAAATTCGTGTGTCAGATGACATGCATGCCGTATTGTATTATTGTTCACATATGACAGTGATTGACTCCTGCTACATTCATTGATATTCGAAACTTTTTATACAGTTCAAATGATTACTTTAGGAAGTTTGTTGACTAAACACAATTTTCTCCATGCATTGGTTTTCATACAATCAAATATTTCACCCTCTTTTCCTTGGAAAAAAACTTGAAAACTCTAACAAGGCTCTTTCGAAAATGGTGCCATTCATTAGGATTAGAGAGAGAATCAGAAAAAATGGATCAAAGATGACATGCGAGAAATGAGAGAGTCAATAGCATCAACATCTATTTATAGTTATAGAGTCATACGATATAATCTAACAACTATTTCAGATGATGTGCATTCATATATCGCTATGTAAAAGTTCTTATGTTCTACTAGTTTTCTTATGCTAATGATCAACTTTTAAAAAGTAACTCCATTTCGCAGAAAAAACCAATACAACTTATGTTCTAATGAAAAGCAAAAGAAAAGAAAACTTTTTATTAGAACTCTTAGGTTGTATTCTGTTGGTTCTGTGCAGAATTAAAGACAATGAACGACATAGCTCTGAATAATGGTGCAGACAGACAAAGAATCGATCTATTAGTGTACTGAAAATAGCTTTCTGTCGAATAGTAACGCAACCCATGGCGAGACAAAGCATTTGGGAGAAAGTGACAAACGATGACAAGGGGAAAGATAATGAAAAAAAGCCTAAAACCGAGTGGTGTCATTTCCAACCAGTCTGATTGTATTCTTCCCATTATAGTTTGAAAGATTTGGATGTATTCTTCACTGATATCTTATCATTTTTATGGTTTATTTTTCTAACGCGTTTGAGATATTTCTCTCTATTTCCATGTTAGATGATGGAAATTAGTGAGATCATGGAAACATGCTAGATATTGCAAATCTTTGATTTGATTCTAAGGGTTATTTTATTCTCTTGTATTAAGGAAGTCAATTTGAAGAACATACAGAATCCCTAATTATCGAACAGCTGGTGCCCTTAATGAAATATGGTGTGCTGTCTTTGCCAATCTTGCGAAAACTAGTTGCCGCGGCTGGGTTTCAGAATGATATGCGTTTTCAATCGTTAGAAGTGAATGGCAAGCCTTCTCTGCGGCGATACTCTCCTGCTCCTCCTGCATTCAACGTCTGTGCCTGTAGTGTCGCATTTGACTGTCCAGATCCTCTGTGGTCCGGAGGCCAGCTTCTATGTCAGTATGGTGACAACTGTACAGCTGGCACAGTGGTTTGGAGCGTACCTGGTATAGTCAAGTCATGCACTAGTATCGAATCACTCTTCAAGTCTGATTTACGCTGCTTCTTCAATCAGACCTGTTTGAATATTCTTCTCTCCATGTTCAATGTTGATATGCTCAAACGACTGCCACTAACTTCTGCTACCCTTAGTACCAAACCTTTGAATAGTTCAGCTTTGTCATTCTTTTTAGTGGAAGACACAATTGACACTATTTTTAATCAGCTGATGATGGAAGAAAGGAAACCAAATTCAAACTTCGATGGCTACTATAACAGTTGCGCTCCTGCTACCTGTACATACAGAATCGTAAAGCGAATGGATTACGTTTATATTGTTGCAATTGTCGGTGGACTGTTTGGTGGTCTTGTCACTAGTCTTCGTCTTCTTGTTCCGGTTGCTGCAAAACTTTTCTATTGGATTATCCTTCATCAACGTCGGCGTCAAGCAAATATCCATAATCAACAGCTTGACAGACATGAAAGTAAATAAACATCTCGTACTTGACAGCAAAACTGTGAAGTAAAGTATGTGGACGAGAAAAGTATCGAACATCTTTGGGCTATTTCACTGTGATTTTTCGACAAAAAAAGATTTCCACCTAGAGGATAGCAGATCATGCTTGTGATGGTGTAAGAAATTATCGACGCTTTCGTTTTCTATTTTTGAACAAAAACTTTCAGTGCAATTCTGAGAGAAATAAAATTTGAAGCGTGATGAAACCGATTCTATTCAGTTCTGAAGACCCGTGTTGTGTTTATCATGATTTAATCGAAGCACAAGAGAACACTCTCCAGAAGTGTCTGTGACATGGAACAATATACCACATTGAGAAAAAGAAAAAAGACTTTTGAATTTAGTGGATTTCGAATAGATACGAGATCCCAAAATCTTTCAACAATACCAAAGTTTGAGGTCTAAAATTTTGAAACAATATATTGCCATGTCTGTCGCGATTTGTGACTGCGCCAGGGAATGGAAGCTCACTTTTCTCACCATAGGCTTCAACACTCGCTAACTATTGTGTTTATAAAACCTAAGTGATTATATCTAATGTAATACAATAATTTCATCAACATAGTTTTCCTTTTCTTGTATGAAATTCAGAACACAAAGAATATATGAATAAATGTGCTATTCAACCCTTTAAAATTTCTCTTTCTAGGATCCAAACTTGATAGATTCAAATTTGAGATTATAACCATGCGACACATACACCTTATTTTTGATGGACACATTTTCATAATAGAATGATTATTTTTTTGTTTTGTTACTTCTTAGGTCTATTACATCGACTCAATAAACTAAGAATTGAAACAAAGAAACGCTTGGTCAAAATGAATCTGTTCAGAAAAGAATGTTCTATTAGTCAAATACCAGATCGCGAGGAAGTGGCACTTATATCAAGTCGAATCTATATTGTTTTACTCAGTATAGTCATGACAATACTTGCTCTTTTAAACGGTTTCAGTTTAATCAATGTCTCCGAAACGGTGCTGTCACCTTCACTTGCCACATTCGAACAACTTCAACAAGCATATCCAGCCACACTCTCATGTTATTGCCAAAAGGCTGTTCTATCGTACAATAATTTCATGTCTGTCGAGCTGAAATTTCATCAGGTAATTCATGTGAATCGATGATATTCATATTCATATGAGCATTATTTTTATATGCATTAGCAGAGGATAGTTCGTCATACGAGAATGAAACTTTTCTTCGAATATGAAACATTATTTACGGGACTGGCCTCGGGCAGTTAACATGGAAGAGGGGATAGAGCATCATGATACGTTTTGAGAGAGAGTGAAAAACTTTTTATCGCCAGACGCAAGAAAAATTTTCGGCTCTACTAGAAAAAAACAGAAACTTTTCATGACGAAGAGTTGTCATCCACATGGCCCCCTATCAGATCAGCCTGCTTGTTTAAATACAAAGATTCAGAAGAGTACATTTATAGTTTGTATGATTTTCAAACACAAAGAGCTCTTGATTATTGGTTGGTATCGACACATAATGCTACTCACCAAACATAGAGTGATCTCTTATAAAGCAACAGCATAGTAAGCTTAGTTTTTTTAGACCTCTAAGTGCTGTTGCATACGATATGATTTCTAGTTTACTGATTTCTAAGATTTTTCATATCGTGCATCGTTTAGATCTGTTCGAGTGAATTTATCAATACGACATGGACAACGCTATTATATGGATATGGATCCTCTGCAAACAATCATCTGCAACTTGATCGACCTCTTCTCAGCAAGCATTTTCAAATTTTGGGATGGATGTGTGAAGAAATAGTAAAGAATGTCGATTTTCAAATAGGCTTACTTCTTGGAAGGTCGCTGGTGACCACAACTATATCATCTCGAAAACCATTAGAAATACAAATCAACAGCACCGTCGCCCATTTCATTGTGTTCATGCCAAAGGAATTTCGACGGATACAATATTTCCTACTTGAAATGTTTCACTTCAATTTTTTGCCGACAGCCTTCAATACTGATTGGTTATTGGAGTACGGTGACGAGTCGAACGGTTATCTCATACGAAGTGTACCTCGCGTATTCACTAACACTACGTGCAATTGTATGATTTCGGGAACATGTCAAGAACCACTACGAATTGGTCCACCTGGTCTCTTTTTACCTGGTCTTGTTGTTGGCTGTTTACCCTATGATGGACTCCGCATGTCCACACTTGAATGTTTCTTCTCATCAAGTTGTATCTCTACCATCCTCACTTATCTTGAATACTACACACAAATGGATGGTTCACCACCTATTAATTTCGTTCCACCCACAGTATTACCCTTGACTATATCTCCATTAGACAACTCAACACCTTCGCGTTTTCCAAAGAATATTTCAATCGGTACACTCATGGACGAATGCTTTATCGAAGAATGGACATTTAGAATGTCATACGAAGATTATTTTGCTACATGTGCACCAAGTCATTGCAATTTTGAATATGTTACACGCAATAATATGTTGTATGTAGCTACATCAGTACTTGGTCTCTATGGTGGTCTTACGATTGGCTTACGATTCATCACCTGGAATGTCATAAGACTATATCGATCGCTGAAAAAGCATATTCGTTCTCGTCGAATTGTTGCTCCATTATGATTTAAAGAAAAACAGACAGAATTACATTTAATCAATCAAGCACTATATTGTGTAACTCTTTTCATTATCAAACTTCATGTAATCACTAAGCTTTTTCGTCTTTGTTTCACATTGATATTCAAATAGCTTGAGCCATGTTGTCTTTGTTGCTTTTATGCTGATATCAATTACTTGTTGTCAAAAGCTGCATGTTCATCGATATTGTCTTTCAAAAAAAATGAAGAAAAATGTTAAAAAATTCATGACATAAATTGATTTATTTAATCATCACATCACTATCATATTATCCATTGAAGCTTTACATCAGTAACTGAAATACAATGTTCCTATCTCATTTACTATGCTTTTGATCAATATTTTACATATCTTCACTATAATATGTCTCTCAAAATTTAATGATCATGACTCTTCTGGTCTTTGATAACTGATTATGAAAGTAATCGAAGTCATATGTTACATTAGGGTGTGTGTGGGCTAGAGCCCGTCGGGTAGGACCCGGACCCGCTCGGGTCCGGGTCCGGGTTCGGGTCTAAAAATTTCGTTTTGGCCGGGTCCGGGTCGGGTTCCGGGTCTGAAATTTTTTTGTGACCGGGTCCGGGTCGGGTCCAGATCTGAAGAAAACTTTGATGCATACAATGTATTGTGAATTTTTTCAAAGTTTTGTTCGTTTCATGAAGAAAAAAATTGAATGTATTTAGAAAATATACAAAAAAGCAACAAAAGACTTTTTGAATATATTATCGAAACTGATTTATCATCGTGGTTGGATCCAAAAAATTTAAGCGGCCGGGTCCGGGTCGGATCCGGATCCAACATTTTTTAAACAAGCGGGTCCGGGTCGGGTCCGGGTCCAACCTTTTTTAAACAAGCGGGTCCGGGTCCGGGTACAAGTGTAGCAAATTGTAAACGGGTCCGGGTTCGGGTCCAAAAATTTTGGACCCGACGGGGTCTAGTGTGGGCGTAGATCTGGTAGGCACTCACATCCACACCCATACCCACACATCCACACACTCACACCCACACCCTAATATTTAATTGAATTTTTGTGATTATTCTTTAAAAAATTGATCTTAATTCGAGTTTTTTTTTAAATGAGTAAAGTTCTAATTTTATCATTGAAAATAAGAATTTTGCTTCTACTGGATCAATTTCGATTCTGTTTATTCTGAAAAAAATACAAAAAAGTCAGCGCTACCTGTGTCTACTTTCAAAAATTGTTCGGGATTGAGCTCACCCTAACCTTAAATCTTAATCATATCGCTACATATTGCATCAATTGTTTGAATGCTATTTATTATAGAATCAATCTCTTTCACATAGCATAAGTTATATTAATAAATGTTAATTTTTCTTTTCTGTTTGCATAAAAAAATGTTCTTCATTCGTCGTAGAGTAGTGAAAATGGCACCGCTGGTTGAAGCCTGAAAATAGAAAAAAGGATAGGATGCATCATTCTATCTTATGAGAAATCAATATTGCATGAAAACGATTCATGATAATACGATGGACGAATTCGAAAGTGTTTTCTTCATTATGATTTTAATCGAAATAATTACTTACCAATTCTCTTTACAGTAAATTGAATTGTACATTTCCATAATATGAATTCCGTAGATTTGCCTTGAAATAGGTGATTTATCTATAAGTATGAATACGTCACAGAGAATCGATTCAATTCAGTGTTTCATACTTTGTTCACTCTTGTGCACGACATGAGGATGAATAAGGATGGCATCACCTAAGAATCATATTTTTTGAGTTAAATAACACAGATGTAACAGTATTCGACTACTATACCAGCTTTGATTTCTACAGGAACAAAAGCACTATTATCATATTGTTCTTCTTCTTCTGTGTAAATGAGCACTTTGCCTTCGTTGAATTCTTGTTGACTGGGATTTCTAATGAAACGTCGTTGGGTTGGTTCTAAATGCGATCTATTATGTTGTGAACATGAACACAGAGAAAAAAAAGACTCACTCAAATTTGACCTAGGTATAAACCAAAGACAACCATTATCGATAGTAGCATTCTCAAGAGCAATCCAGATGCCCACCACTTTGAATGGTTCATTGAACACATATGTTGCATCTCGATGGGGTGCCACTATAGAATAGAAAGTAAAGATAATTCAGCTATTTCTGTGAACATACAAACATTACCTTTTGCTCCAATAAATGGCTGTTTAAAGATGTACATTGTTTGACGTATGGCAGGTTTTATAAATTTGAGATCGTGTACAATCGCCTAAGGAACACATAGAAGAACTGAACCAATTCGTTTTCTATAAGCTTTACTTTGATTTTATCTGAAAATGTCACTTCTTTGAATTGAGGATCGAAGTTATGAAGAGCAAGACCAATTCTACTTACACTAAGATGTTTGTCGCGATTAAGTTTACCTATTTATTTTTGTTTCAAATTGATGGAAAACTACAAAGTGAAAAGAGAGAATTATCGCCCTTCTTTACACAATACCTGTGTGAGGATCAATAGCATCTTCTTCGACCCTAAATGAAAGTTTATCGCTAATAGCGATCATTCGTTGTGATCTGGCTTGTGCTTTATCTTTATCACTTAGAAATATCCATGAATATACTGGTTCTGGTTCCCAATTATCGATCAATTGATTAGCGGCTATTTTCAACTTTTCACATTCATCAAGTGTCAGCAATTGTTTCAAAACAAAAAAACCATCTTGTTCGTACTATTAAAAAAATTTCACAACAATCGTTAACAACAACAATAAACATACACGATCAATTTGTTCTTGTGTTAACATTTTGCTCGATAACAATGCGCAAATGTATGTTCGTCTTACTTGAGTATCTTTTATTTATTAAAGATAGCAAAGAAAAATAAGATAAGGAGAAAATAAAACGAAATGACATGTAATATTGATGATGCAAAAAGATATGTTTTCAAATTAGTGTCAAAGATAAAGAAACATGTTCGTGGTTCAAATATAGAATATATTTGAATGCAAGCAACGCGCAAATAGTCTTATCTAATGTAGTTTCTCTCGTAGATTCCAACGACGTCCATGATCAACGAATTCTGTCCTAGTATTAGGATTATATTTTTCAATATTGCTTTCATATGTACACAAACATTCATGAACACTCATTTTTGTACTTGGTGTGATCAGATTTGCTACCCAACAGCGAATATTATCATGTTTATCATGATAACTTTTTGAAAAAAAAAAAGATCTTACATAATAAGATTGTTATGTTCGTTATTGAGATGTTGTTTTACTTCAATAGTCATTGATTTCATTTGAATAATATAATAGATACATGGATTTTTATTTAATATATAATATAACATAATGCAACAGAGTAGATCAGAATAAACAACTTTTATTCTTTTTTATTTCTTTTTCTAATTCTTTTTTTATTTTGATATATATAGCAATGACAACAACAGGTCAAACTATAATGAAAGAAAAAAAAGAAATAAGAAATAAGTAATATTGTAATCATCTATAGTAGAATATTTCAACATGAAATATGTAATGGTTGAATTTTCGGCAACTACAGGTGCCATCTTCGGAACATGAAGTTGTATATGTTGGTGTTGTTGTATGATGTTGTGTGGTGAAGAAATAAAATATTGATTCATTTAATAGATTTTTCAAAACACGAACACAATTTTTTGATGTTCTTAAACGATGTTGTATAAATATGATAAATTTCAGTTCAACACCATCAGGATTAGTTACACCACCATTAAGACTATCATCTCTAAATAGAGAAGAATTTGTACCATGTGTATTGTTGCTAATAAATACATACATAACATTGAATAATATAATAGATACCTGTTGATGTCATTGCTATATAAATTAAAAATTAAAAAAAAATTAAAAAAGAATTAAAAAGAAAAGAATAAAATTTGTTTATTCTGATCTACTCTGTTGCATTATGTTATATTATATTAAAAAATCCATGTATCTATTATATTATTCAATGTTATGTATGTATTTATTAGCAACAATACACATGGTACAAATTCTTCTCTATTTAGAGATGATAGTCTTAATGGTGGTGTAACTAATCCTGATGGTGTTGAACTGAAATTTATCATATTTATACAACATCGTTTAAGAACATCAAAAAATTGTGTTCGTGTTTTGAAAAATCTATTAAATGAATCAATATTTTATTTCTTCACCACACAACATCATACAACAACACCAACATATACAACTTCATGTTCCGAAGATGGCACCTGTAGTTGCCGAAAATTCAACCATTACATATTTCATGTTGAAATATTCTACTATAGATGATTACAATATTACTTATTTCTTATTTCTTTTTTTTCTTTCATTATAGTTTGACCTGTTGTTGTCATTGCTATATATATCAAAATAAAAAAAGAATTAGAAAAAGAAATAAAAAAGAATAAAAGTTGTTTATTCTGATCTACTCTGTTGCATTATGTTATGTTATATTATACCAATCAGAATATTCAGTCACTGAACTATTTCATAAGTTTTTATAAACAAACTTAAAATATTAATTATTCAAAATGTAATCAATATCAATAGATAGACAACAAGAAAGAATAAATGATGTGTTTGAAACTTTTGACTTGATAGTAAATGAGATATCACGACGAGTTCCACTAGTAGATCAGAAGTTTATGAGCACACGCATTTTTGATTCGTTTCAGTTGTTAAATGAGTCAAAATTTTCTGAATATTTTTAGTTTAATTATGAAAAATTCTCATTTGAAATACTTGTCTTTTGATCATACATTCATTTGTTTACTTGAATCGAAACTATTCGACCATTCCTGTTCTAATAAATGAATTGAACAATTAATTTTTTTTTTGTTAAATGTTTATTAGATTCTAAATTAAATAAAAAAAGTTCCACTTACTCGTTTCTTTGCTTTATGAAGACCAGTAAAATTTACACATATAATAAGTGAAGACTAAAATAAAAATTGAATATTACAGTTTTTTTTAAGTTACTTTATCAATTAAATAAATTCATCGGTTTTATTATTTTCATGATGTTGAAATCAATGATAACGATGAAGATACATGTATGACCATCAATTGAACAAAGTATTCCAAATTGTTCAGTTTCTTTAATTAGAAAAATTTTTATTTAAATAAAAAATAGAGATTATGTCAATGCAACTCATTCCAGATTATAATATAAAACTTACATGTATTCTTTAGTCTCATTATACTCATACAACATACTTGAAATGAAAAATTTCTACCAGACTATGAGGGATTACGAGAAATCGAAATTTAGTCAATTTTGCTTTTAAAGTTACTATGATTTTCATATGTTTTCATTTTTGAATCTCTTAACTTCTTTTGGATGAGTTTCCTTCGCGATTCTCGAAAAGGATGTGGGTACTGGTATAGAGAAAACTATTCCAGAATTGAATCTTATCATATCTAAAAACGTCTTCAGTATTTTTTTTTATTTATACGCTTAAAGTCGTAGAATATTTAACTATAACTTTCAGTTGCAGTTGGAACTACCGGTTTTTCTCATAGTTGCTACTATTAAAGTGAAAGTCTATAATGACCACATTCATAAATGATCACCAACAAGATGCCTTGGGAAAATGTGAAATAAATTCTAATGAGAATATTATGAATACGAGTCTGACAAACTTCCAAATTTTCGTCTCACATATCTTTAAAACTTACATTCACTCTATTTTTCTTCAAAAAAGATGTGAGTTCCACAAAACAAAACCAATCAATAGTAGTATCATCAATTGTTAATGATAATGGATTAATATCAAATAAACTTTGAATATCCCTTAATTGAATAAGTATAATATGTTTTTATACCGAATGTTTTCCACATATGTTCAAGACAATCGAAGAAAAGAATAACGTATTAAATGTGTTCGTATTATTGTTAATTCTTGTGAAAGTTCAATAAATTAAAACTTTTTTATATAATCACGATATGCATCAAGAAATTCTGACTAAAATTTAACAACAATATACTTAATACTGTCGAAATCGTTTTCTTACTCGACAATTTTCAATACGGTTAATTCACTGAATTAATTAATAATTGATAATCAATATATGCTGTTGATATAGATTTAAGTAAACGTTGAATAGGTCATATCATGATAATGCAACAAAATATTGTTTACCTAATTGAGTTTTATGTTTACGAATCTATTTGAAAATAGTTTTTATTTTGTTACATTATCTATTCAATGAAATAAAATTATCTTATGATAAGTATAACAACGAGTATTCATTTTTTTAAATCTAATGTATGAATGACATCCATTGTTTTAGCATAAAGTTTTCTAAAATCTATTAGAAAAAAATAGTTCATTCGAAACTGAAGAACAGTGTCCGACAATTTAGTACGAGAAGAATTTCATTATAGTCTACGAAAACTGAAATACATCAAATCTCGTTAGGCTCGATATGCTTTCTTTTTCAAAACTATTGTTTGATTATTGAGAAGTGAATTCTTATTCAGACTTTGCTATCGTATCGAACAATCAAATAATGTTTATAGAAAAAGTATACATAGTTTTTTTCTTAAGTATATGATCAGTAAAGCCTTAGAAAAAATATCGAACCTGTGAGATTAGATCATTTTATAATATATATATATATATATTTTTTGTAAACCTAGCTTTTCCGATAATAACATTGTTCAAGTCTATTAACAACAGAATATTTTCACAAGTAACTCAACAGACGCCATAATTTTTTTTTAACTAGTAAAATATATTTCATTGAATAATATCTAATAACATTGTAAAATTAATATTAATTTTCATTCGATTTCTCTTATATTCCATTCCAATTAAATATTAATTATATATGTTAATATTTTGTTCTTTATAACCATATTGTCACCTAATACATACTCATTTTAATAGTTGTATTGAATAATAAATCAAGTAATGGACTATTAATCATATGTTGATGATGAAAATAATAATAATGAAGAAATCTGACGATGTTGTTATTTAATTATTAGTTAAATTAATTGTACACATGGATTTATCAACATTATTCATTAAACATAAAATTCTCCAAATCACTAAAAACATTATTATATATACATTTTTTAATCTTTTTTCTTTATTGATTAATACATACTTGTACATGAATAACAAATTGTTGATCTTGATGTCGATATAAATAAATTTTTATTCAAAAGAAGAATATATCTTGTTTCATTCTTTTCTGTTGTAATAAATCCACCTAACAAAGAAAGATTTTTTCAAACTTCTGTAATGAATTATTTTGATCTAAAATTTTGTTGATATTTAGATATGTTCATCCAAAAAGAATATTATTGTAAAAATTTAAGTGTTTAAAAACTTCCATTGTTTTGTTTTTTTCGACAGTCTATGAAATTGAATCAACAGTTTTTAACATTAAGTATGTCTACTTAAGTAATAGTTCGTCTGATGTAATATATTTTGTATTTTATCATAACAAATAAAATAATTATACATAAATGTTGTTATTGATTATCATTAATAAAAATAAACAAAACAATTTCATTTTCATTCCAAATGAGATAAAATCTAAAAAATTCATAAATAAATCATTATATATGTTAATGTTAACAAGAGAGAAAGTAGAGAAAAAAGAAATATATATGAAGGGAGGAATTTTATTTTTCTTTTTTGTCTTTCTCTCGTCCATAAATCATTGTTCATATTGTTATCATTGACGATCAATGATCAACATGTACAATTAAATATGTATATCATTTTCGACGAGAGAAAAAAATGATTTTTCTAGGGTATATATACGAATGATTTCTATATAAAATCATTCAAATTTTTGAATCAAATAATAATCATTTTTCTTTTCTGTTTTAGATTGGCTTCAACCAAACAATATGAAACAATTCAACAACAAACCAGACAATAAAATAAAATGTAGGTATTAGTTTTACTTTTTTTTTATTTTTTTTAATTTTACGATCATAAGGATGGTGGGATAAGGCCTCCTTTCATCTTTTTATTATTATTTTTTTTTATTTTAGGGAATAAACAATGAAGAAAAAGGTAATATTAGGGTAAGTCATCTCATTCTATTTCATTAAATAACATTGATTAAATTTTTTTTTCTATTCCTTTCAGCTATCAATATCATCGCGTCATCAACATTGGACACGGTAAGTAATTTTTTTTTTTGAGATGAGAATAGGTAGTGATATTGAAGGGTTAGGGTGAGTCTAAGAAAAGTGAGTGTTAGTAGAGAGTGGGTGAGTCATGCTCATTGAGGTTAGGTCCCCGTTAGTTACAGGCCTTCCGGGTAGGCCCTAATAACCCGGCCAGGAACTGTCTTGGTGTCCGTGGCACACGACCAGGCTTATTCAGATTCATCGACATACCTCTCTCGGGGAGGGTATGAATGATATGAGTCTGTCCTGTGCCTGCATGAGCGTTACGCTCGCCACGGCTCCACCAGGATGGCTCCTGGTCACGCACGCGAATAGAATAGACATTCATTTCATCAATTCAACGTGATTTATTTGAAACGAAAGGAACGCAAAATAAATAATCCATCGTTTTGAGTCTATTCAATTGAAAAGCGTTGAACACGATGATTTTTACAATCGACGACATAGAGATTGCCATATCGATCGAAGGACAAACCACGGAGATAGTTGAACTGATTTGCTTCTGCTCCCTCACCATTTCCACCCACAATGACAGTACCCTGTTTCGCTTCTTTAGGCCAACGCATCACTCGATGATTCCCATAGTCTGCCACATAGATGGTACCCAATGTATCGACGAACAGTCCTTGAGGATGCGATAATTGTGTCAGGGCATTCCCTTGGCCTTGACCTCCAGCGACGACAATTCCTTCTTTTGCACCTTTATTCCATTTTATTACACGATGACTGTTACGGTCTGACACATAGACAGTGTGTTGTTGATCAACAAAGATGTATTTCGGCTCGTTGAGTTGATTGAGATCAGCACCTTCGCCATTGCCACCAGCCACGATAGTTCCATTCCTGTCTCCTATTTGATATCGTCTTACTTCATGGTTTTCGTCGTCAGAGATGTACAGATATCTCTGATCATCCATGGCCAATCTTCGACAACTGATGTTGTTGATGAGGATTTCTCCTTGAGTTGTACCACTGCGACGAGACCATCGTACAACTCGTCGATTGCTCTGGTCACAAATAATGAGACTATCCATCTCTTTGTCAATCAACACATCGGTTGGACAATTCAATTGATCCAATCGATTTCCTCGGCCATTGCCACCAGCTACAACTTGTCCATTGGTATCACCCATCTTCCATTGGATGATACGATGATTGCCCCAGTCAGCGATGACTATCGTTTGATCATCATCAACGAAGAGACCATTAGGCCAGTAGAGTTTATTGGTAGCACTGCCTTCTCCATGACCTCCAGCAACAGTCACCCCATTCTGTTTCCATCGGGCATTGGCTGGAATATTGAAAATTACTACAATGAACAAAAAAGAAAAGAAATCGTCGTTATCGAAGGGATCTCATCTCTCGTGGGAGTAAGCGCTACAAATATGACATTGATCTTTGAGAATGCTCATTCCACAGATAAAAATTCAGAAGTCTTTTCCGAGTTTCTTATGAGAAAAAAGGATTTGGTAACGATTCTTACATCTATGTTACTTATAGTTCTTGCCAAGATCTTTTTGATCATAAAAATAACACCTGGAGATTGCTGTAAGGAGGTTCTCCAAGAAAGAGTAATACTAATTCCATGTAAGTTTTTGATAGAAAAACATAAGGATCTGAGGATTTTATTCAGAATTACAAGAATTCAGAATCTTTTTGGTAGAATGATCATTTATATGAACATCAGAGAAGATTCTATCTGTATCTTGTGAGAAGAATATCGAATCGTTGAACAACAAAATATCAAACCTAATCCCTATGTTTTTTAGGAAACCTTAAGGATACATGATTTTCTGTGTGATGAATGTAGATCTGCTGAAGAATCTCCTAAGTATTTGCATAGAGAATGCCGGTGAAATTTTATAAGGCTTTTGATAAGTTATGTCAAGCTGTTCGAAGAATAACCGTGATGTACTCTGAGTAAGATCATGAGAAGGCTTGGATACAGGCGAAACTGAACAAAGTTGAGAGGATTCCACGCGAATCTATGTAATCTGAGAGAGCTTCTACTTTTGCAAATGCTGAAAAGATGGATGTCAATCCGAACGGAGCTCTCCAGTGACAAACATGGGGATCTATGGATTTTATGGGCTTTGAAAAAAAAGTGTTCTAAAATGGTATTTTTAACTTTTGATGAACACCATCTTCAAACCATTGTATTAGGGTCCTCGAAGAGAATCTTGATGACTAAATAAGATACTCTGTCAAAATCTAAAAATAATGAGTATCTTCTATGAGGATCATGCTATAATCCTTATGTAGTACTTGTTCTGAGAAGTCTTCTGTAAGCTCACATGTTATGGATATGTTCAGGAGGATCTGAAGAGTAAGTATTTTGAAATAGTTGATATCAGAGTGAAAATGGAGTAGGAACAGGACAGAATGGAGATGCCTATCTTTGAATTTTATGAGAAAGTTTATAAAGCAATAAATTAATATGCTACTAATTTATATCAATCATAGATTTAATTATGTTCAAAAACTTATGCGTATTTAACTCTCGGATGCCCAAGCTAATTTTTGGAGATAATACGATAACATGTATTCATATTTCTATGATTTTAATTGCTGTACTGGTATTCTTGCCCAAATTAGATTGTTTTCCTCTTCAGTCTTGTAAAGTAATTATTAGAATTATAGTTTTCCTTTATTTAGAACAGTAAATACAAAAAATTCCCTGAACAAAGTGCTCATCACAAACCGATCCTGGGAGGGTTTTCACTGAATTCTTCTGAACATAATGAATATCATAGGCACAAGGGCGGATATATATAATAGAAATCTCGGGACAATAATAATCTTCTCGAAGATTTTGAACAAGAATATTGAAAATAGACTAGATGCGATGCCATGCACAAAAAGAATACAAGAGAGAAGGGATATGCATGAGATGTAAAGTAGACAGGAAAGAAAAAAGAGAAATGTACTAGAAGAGATCAAAAAGAGACAGTGAAAATAGATGCATTTTTTTAAAGCTTTTGTCAGATTCAGAATAAAAGATGTCATTGGACATCTTATTAGATTCTGAGATTAAGAAATATATAAGAACAGAGTAAAGGACTCTGATCTGATTAAATAGGATTCATAAACCAAAGAAAGTTACAGCATTACATAATCCAAGTCTTGTCTGCTCTTATTTGATTCTGTATGATCTATCATGTTCTTTTACTTATTTGAGAATTGTTGATTCAATAGTTTCTATTATGGAGAAATATACGAAATACACAAAATTGTCCTGCGCAAGGCAATGTTTTCTATTAATGGAATCGTAAAATCATATTTGACTTCAAAAATAAATGCTTTGTATAATAGATTAGTCAAAGTATAGATATATCTCGGAAATTTTCACATAATAGAGAACGTTTTTCTTCACAAAATATTTCGACAGAAAAAATATCGATGTCGAAGTTTTTCTAACACTATCAGGAGATAAAAAATAATATTTTTTTCTACGTATCCTCTACTATATATCTCCCTGGAAAAAAAATAGTTAGACTCGGTATTTTCGATATATTGTTACTATAAATTGACATTTTGAGAAAAGTAATTATATATTCGGATAGCCCGTGGAATTCTCTACAACTGTCTGTGTATAAGTTTTGCATTGCATTTGTTTCCTGGAAATAAATTCAAGAATACTAAAAGTACCCTTATTGCCAGATTCCCACAAAAATTTACATCTCATTGATTTTTTCAAATTTATTTCCAGGAAACAAATGCAATTCAAAACTTATACATAGAGAGTTGTAGAGAATTCTACGGGCTATTCGAATATATAATTACTTTTTTCAAAATGTCAATTTATAGTAACAATATATCGAAAATACGGAGTCTAACTGTTTTTTTCCAGGGGAATATATATCACATGTAAATTATCATCCAAAATCGATTATACTTAATCGACATTCACTATCGTTCAATATCAAAGTAAAATAAATAACATAGTCGATATCAGTACAAAAACTACAACAGAACATACACTAATGTCTTTAGTTCATCAGGAATGCATTTTTCATGAGTACTTTTCTTCCAGCTGTAATATCTCTGATTTGACGTATTTTTTATATTGATGTCAAATATACTATTCAATTTGGTCTAACATAGAGCTAGGATGAAAAAAACATCGACGAAATACACCAATTCATTTTCGCAAAGTTTTCTATGATTTTATGATTGAAATTTAAAACAATCTATTTTCTCAATACTAAAACAAAGTCGAAAAACCAAATGATATAGAGGCATTTCATGTTCGATGTTCAATGATTCTAATGAGAGATGACATTGAATCTAAACTCTTCTCATTAAAGAGAAACATGTATTTATAAAAATATCTATCGACATACGATTGCTTTCGTAAATGTCGAAATCCAACCCTTACTTTAAGTAGATATCTATACCTATCCACTAGTTGAACGATGTTTCCATAAAATTTATGATAGAATTACGTTGTCTGTCACATGATCTATATAAATAGTATAGAATGTATAATGTGTAGTCGGAATATAAGGTTTCATATAAGACAAACAAGTCAAAAAAAATTTTCCTTTAACTTCATTGAAATCAGACATGAAATGAATGAAATAGATCTTTTTCTATCATGTTCAAACATTTCAATTCATTTTCATTCCACTTATCAACAGACAGGTTCAATAAAATTATGTTTATGAGATAAAATATGATATTTGACTATATTTATGATAACGATCAAATTTCATACGATTTCATGTACGCTTAGTCTGGGTTTGTTGAACAAACGACTATGGTTACGTTATTGTCTAATAGAGAGCGAATGAAAATTAACCTTCTTATCAGCGTAAAAAATTAAAAGAAATTACATGACAATGAAGAAATGAACAAATTGTATTTCTTATTTAGAAGTCATGAACGTAATGGAATTTTGTTAATTATCGAACTCCATGTTCAACTAGATGATAACTTTCTAGTAAACTTTGTCAAGAAGATGAAATCCTAGCATTCTAATTTTCAAACGAAATT